CCAGACTGCAAGAGGGCACAGGCCGGGCTGGGGGACCCGCCTCCCCCCGCCCCCCGAGTGCACAAATTTTTGTGCACCGGGCCTCTAGTCTATATATATATAAAAGGCTAAGTGACCAACCAAACAACCGTCCGACCGGTACATATGACGCACACTAGCAATTTAAAAATAAACATTGACTTGCGCATGAGCAATATTTGTCCCCATCTGACACTGGCCTCCCATTTAAATTAATTCAAAGACAGTTTCCCGTGATGTCAGCATTTGCGATGACTATTAATAAATCACAAGACAAATTCTAGACAGAGTAGGAATATTCCTACCTGAACCTGTTTTCGGATATGGTTGGTTATATGTTGCCGTCTCTTGAGTTCAAAGAGCATGTGACGTTAAAGCTGTAAATACTTCATCACAAAGGAAATCAGTCAAGCACTCTGAAAGTGTTATTATTATTAATGTGGTATACAGGGAAATATTAGAATAAGTTTAATCAATTTATCAGTCATTGTATCAATGTTGTTTTTATATCATGTTTTTGTTGTTTTTATATCATGTCTTTGTTGTTATATCATGTTGTTATTGTTTATTAATCAATTTATACACTATTTTCATATACATTTTACTAATTTTCTTTCATCTCTGACACTTCTATTATAGAGAAAGGGCAAATAGCGATATTAAAATAGTTCTTCTAATTAATTTCCTTTCAATGTGCACGAATCCGTGCACTGGACCACTAGTCTTGAATAAGAAAAGACTTTATAGGACATGAGATTTAAGAGAAAAAGTTAACATGCACCTAAAACAGTGAAAACAAAAAGTTAAGTCACACGCTTGTGCTAGAGGAGCTCAAGGGCTGTAATGTCCTGAGATTCTGCAGGTGGGCTGCTCCCCCAGGGGCCACTCCACATGAATCACAGGAGGCTGCATGGTGGAGGGGGCAGAGAATGTGAGCTCAGCCATCTGCCTGGCTCCCCACTTTCCTGCTGTGGGACCTGAAACCCTCTGCACTGCAGTATCCCCGTTTGTAATTTGGGGATAATAACAGCACTGCCATGAAGAACAGACACACAGACCAACAGAACAGAATTGAAAGCCCAGAAATAAACCCACATTTATATGAGGAAATAAGTTTTCACAAAGAAACCAAAAACATACAATGAAGAAAAGAAAGCCTCTTCAATAAATGGTGCTGGGAAAATTGGAAAGCCACATGCAAAGAATGAAACTTGACTGCTATTTGTCACCATACACAAAAATTAACTCGAAATGAATTACAGACCAAAATATAAGACCTGAAACAATAAAATACATAGAAGAAAACATTGGCACCAAACTTATGGACCTTGGACTGAAAAGATGATTTTATGAATTTAATCTCCAAGGCAAGGGAAAAGCAAAATTAAATGAATGGAACTATATCAAACTAAAAAGCTTCTGCACAGCAAAAGAAACCACCATCAAAACAAAAAAGGCAACTAACTGAATGGGAAAAGATATTTGCAAACACCTCTGATAAGGGGTTAATATCCAAAATATATGAAGAACTCATACAACAACAAAAGAAAACAAACAATCCAATTAAAGAATGGACAGAGGACTTGAACAGACACTTCTCCCAAGAAGACATAGACAGGGCCAGCAGATATATGAAAAGATGCTCAACTTCACTAGCTATTAGGGAAATGCACATCAAAGCCACAGTGAGATACTACCTCAAATCTATTAAAATAGCGATTATCAACAACGCAAGTAATAATAAGTGTTGTAGAGGTTGTGGAGAAAAAGGAACCTTCATATACTCTGCTAGTAGGAATATAAACTGGTACAACCACCTTGGAAAACAGTATGGAAGTTCTTCAAAAAACTAAGAATAGAGTCACCATATGACCCAGGAATCCCTCTTCTGGGTATCTACCTGAAAAATTTGAAAACATTTATTCATAAAGATATATGTTCATTGTAGCATTATTCACGGTGACCAAGACATGGAAACAACCAAAAACTGAAGTGTCCTTTGAAAGATAATTGGATAAAGATGTGGTACGTATGTATATACAATGAAATACTACTCAGCCATCAGAAAGATAAAATACTGCCATTTGCAGCGTGGACGGATCCTGAAAATATGCTAAGCAAAATAAGTCAGATAGAAAGTCAAAAACCTGATTTCACCTCTATGTGGGATATAAAACTGAAAGCAACAAATGAACAAATAAGACAAACAAAAACTCATAGACACAGACAACAGTAGGATGGTTGCCAGAGGGAAGTGGGGTGGGGGAAGGTGGAAAACGGTAAAGGGGATGACGGAAGAAGACTTGATCTTGAGCGAACGAGCACACAATGCAGTATACAGATGATAGATTATAGAACTGTACACCTGAAACTTATATCATTTTATTAACCAATGTCACCCCAATAAATCTAATAAAATTAAAAATAACAGCACTGCCACCTGGTGTCATTAGGAGAATTACATCGACTAGTGTTTCTAAAGCATTAGAACAGTGGTGGCACATAGCAAGTGCTATCTGTGCCTGTTAAGTATACGTTTTGTTTTGTTTTTTAATCTTTTTTTTAAAATATATTTTTATTGATTTCAGAGAGGAAGGGAGAGGGAGAGAGAGATAGAAACATCAATGATGAGAGAGAATCATTGATTGGCTGCCTCCTGCTCACCCCCTACTGGGGATCGAGCCCGCGACCCTGGGCATGTGCCCTTGACCAGAATCGAATCCAGGACCTTTTGGTCCGCAGGCCAACACTCTGTCCACTGAGCCAAACCAGCTGGGGCCGATTGGGTTTTTTAAAAATAGAGGTTGGTGTAGCTACCTGGGAGTTAAGTAGGGACAAACCTGTAGAACCACAGAGTTAGGATTCTGAACTTTACCCGAAGAGCAATGGAGCCATGCTTACCATCTCTGACCCCCAAATCTCCCAACTTTTTCAGAAATCTTATAGTACTAAGATCTTCTGCCTCGAAGGGGCATCTTGAATGGAATAACTCTTTTTGAGGAATGGGTTTTATTTTATTAGCAAAACTTCTATAGTGGGTATCCTTGAGTGGGGGTGGGGGAAAGGAGAGAGGAAGGAGGACATAGAGGAGGCTTGGGTGTTGGTAATGTGTTTCTCCATCTAAGAACCATGAACATTCATTCAGCTGTACACTTAAGATTTGTACTCTTTTCTTTTTTTTTCTTAAATATGTTTTATTGATTTTTTACAGAGAGGAAGGGAGAGGGATAGAGAGTTAGAAACATCGATGAGAAAGAAACATCGATCAGCTGCCTCCTGCACACCTCCTACTGGGGATGTGCCCTTAAACAAGGTACATGCCCGTGACCAGAATCGAACCTGGGACCCTTCAGTCCGCAGGCCAACGCTCTATCCACTGAGCCAAACCAGTTAGGGCAAGATTTGTACTCTTTTCTGCATTTGTAAGGGCAAATACAAATTATAAGTTAGAGGCTTGATTCTCTAGTTGAAAATAAGAAACTCTCCCCCTCCTTCTTCCTTTCAGAATTTCCTCAGTCCTTTTAAAATGTATGTAAATTTTTCTAATCCTATATAATAAAAGCCTAATATGCACATGTCTCCTTGGGCAGTTGTTCGACCGGGAGTTTGACCACTCGCAATGACATGCACTGACCACCACAGGGCAGCACGGAACATGGCAGGCATCTGTGACGTGGCCCTGGCAGCAGGCAGCAGGGAAGGCACTGCCAGCCCCGATGGGCCCTGATGAGAACGGGACTGCAGCAGGATGGTGGAGCAGGTGAGCGGGCAGCACCAGGCCAACGCAGGTGCGAGTGGGGGCCTGATTGCCCTGCTGATTGCCCTGCAGACGGCGACCAGTGGTGGCTCCCAGGCGCTGAGGGAGCCAGGCAGGGGGCCCACCTTGATCGATCACCCCACAGGCGGGATGGTGGAGCAGGTGAGGTGCCAGGTGGGGCTGTGGGGCTGTGAGATTGGGAGCACGAGCTGGGGCCCAATCCCTGCAGGCCACCCCAAGGGACCTCACCTGTGCACGAATTTGTGCACTGGGCCTCTAGTAACTAAATAAGCCTCTGTCAGTGTGGACAACTCGGGAAAGTTTCAAGGGCCTGAAAGCCATCCCTTAAAAATGAAGTCAATGAAAATAATGTTCTATCACCCAAGTCAACACTGCAAGCCCTGCCTAACTAGTGAATGGTATCCACTTAGCTCTACAGAGAGTACAATTTCTTTCTATCTTTGCAATCATTTTAGTGGGCTGCCTATCATGTGCATCTCATTCTGGTTTAATGCTTATTCAATAATAAAACTGTTTTCTTTCTCTTCTGCCTTTATGGAGAGGTTTTTCAAGTTGGGAGATTATTCATTTTCATATTTCCCCAATATATTTCATGCTTTAATGAAGAGGTCAAAATATGCTTTTTTATAATTAAGTTAGCCCCAAGTGAAGGGGAAAAAGAATGATTTCTAGACCATTTTTTTTGTTATAAAAAACACACAAAAAAGTTCAAGATTTTGCTGGCAGATATATAATTTTTTATACGTATACTAAAGAAAGGTAACTTTTTACTTTTAGTCTCTATCTGAAGAATAACAAGTTTAAGTGATGTACAAGAGAACATACAAAATATTAGGGAACGTGGCAATTTTAACAAATGAGAGAGCATAGGGGTCAGATATATACCAGGCTCCACCCCAGCTCCAACACATCCCATGTGCGTGACCACTGGTAGGTTACTTGTCCTCAATAATTGTTGAACCCTCACCACACATCATACTTCAGGTACTGTGTTAAGCAGCAATCTCATAAAATTGTGAAGATTCAAAAAGATGAATACTATTGCCCTGGCAGGGTGGCTCAGTTGGTTGGAGCGTTGTCTCAACACCAAAAGGTTGCAGGTTCGATTCCAAGTCAGGGCACATACCTAGGTTGTGGGTTTGATCCCCAGTTGGGGCAGGAAGGGAGGCAACCAATGGATGTTCTCACATCAATGTCTCTCTCTCTCTCCCTCTTTTCTCCTTTCTCTCTCTAAAGAGCAATGAATATAGCCTCGAGTGAGGATTTAAAAAAACACACAAAACAATGGATACTGTTATCACCCTCCCATCTCAAGATGAAAAAAATCAGAACTCAAAGTATTAAAGTGGCTTGTCCAAAGTTGGAAAGTAAATAAATATGGTAGTGGGAGCAAGACATAAGAACTGACCAGCCGATTCCAGGGCCACTGGAAGGGCCTCACCTCACTATGCCCATCAGGAAACATCTAATTCCAAAATGGGTCCTTTCACTGCTCTCATCGCCTCCGGGGTTGCCTGGCCTGTGAAATCCATGTAAGTGTTCAGAACTGTTACAAGAGCCAAATGAGACTGTAACACGTGTGCTTCCCACACTACCTGGAATATAGCAATTATTCAGTATTCTTACGCAGACACTTGAGAGATGAAAAAACCTGCAAAAGGCTTTTCTTTCCCAAATACATGAAAATTCCCATTGCGGACACTCACCAAGCATGGCCAAGGTGTGCGTGATCATAAACAGTTGGTCCACAGCTATACCTAGGAACAAAGTTAAAATACATCATGTGAAACAGATCTGCAAGAGAAGATATCACTTTCTCAACTAGGATCATCATATAACCATGTCTTTTAAAAAATATATATTTTATTGATTTTTTACAGAGAGGGAGGGAGAGGGATAGAGAGTTAGAAACATCGATGAGAGAGAAACATCAATCAGCCGCCTCCTGCACACCTCCTACTGGGGATGTGCCCGCAACCAAGGTACATGACCTTGACCGGAATCGAACCCGGGACCAATCAGTCCGCAGGCCGACGCTCTATCCACTGAGCCAAACCGGTTCGGGTAACCATGTCTTTTTTATTTTCTTTTTTTAAGTAACCACTTTTGTGGAATGTACAGCTGGGAATATATTATTACTTGACTTGCTAACTTCATACCAAAATCCTGTCATTTCACCGTGACTATACCATGTCTTCATGGTGCCATGTATTTTATTATTTGCTAAATGATTTCCACCTGAGAACCCGACCCCGCTCTCCACACAAAACGCTCAGCCCACAGTCCTCCCCGCCCCGCCTCCCCCCGAACCTCGCTCCCCACAGTGCCCGGGAGCTACCAGGAGGCGGCGTCCGCGCTGCCCACGATTAAAGGGTCCTTTCTCAGCGTGAGGCTGTTGTACACCTTGACGCCCGTATCGTGGCCTTCAGGCTGCAGCCAGCCCCGCCCGCGC